TTTTTTTTAATTTTTGGCAGGGGTGCAGTGGCTCACGCTTGTAATCCCAGCACTTTGGGAGGCCAAGGTGGGTGGATCACCTGAGGTAGGGAGTTCAAGACCACCCTGACCAACACTGTCTCTACTAAAAATACAAAATTAGCCAGGTGTAGTGGTGCATGCCTGTAATCCCAGCTACTAGGGAGACTGAGGCAGGAGAATCGCTTGAAGCTTGAACCCGAGATGTGAAGGTTGTAGTGAGCCGAGATTGTGCCACTATGCTCCAGCCTGGAAAACAAGAGCGAAACTCCATCTCGAAAACAAACAAACAAAAACATTTTGTAGAGATGGGGTCTTCCTGTCTTGCCCAGGCTGGTCCCAAACTCCTGGGCTCAAAGCGTTCCCCCTACCTCGGTCTCCCAAAGTGTTGGGGTTACAGGTGTGTGAATCACAGTGCCCGGCCTGATTTTACATTTTAAAAAGTACATCTAGACACACACACAAACACTCCTCCCAATGTCTCACCCTCCCACTATGGTGTAAGTTTGGTTAGATCGATATTCAGTGTTTCTATTTCATGGCCGTGTAAAATGGAAACACTGTTGGCAGCTAAATCAAAAAATCATATACTACTTATTTTCCTTTCCTGACAATTTGTTTCTCTAGAACTTATATAATTGCCTTTTTAAAAGGGTGCCTAAATTTCTAATACCTAATGCTAATTTATTCCCAACTTTTCCTCCACTTGAGCCAATCTCCTCTCAGTGCTTTCAAACCCATCAGGTGTTCTACCATTTTGGACTTTTTGAAGCTGTCTCTCCTGGTGCTTTCTGACCTGCTCCATCGGGATTAACTGATAGGTCCGCGGCACAGAGGTCATTTCACTGTCTTCCTGTAACATGGTCCTAGAGATACTTTTCATTTTTCTCTTATGAATCACCTGTTTCTCAGATCCCATGTCATCTTCTTGGGTTCACTTCCTCATTTGGCAAGAATGCTTTGAAATTTCATTATCACGTATCTCAATGTGGGTCTTAGACATATTTCATCGGGTACTCAGAGGGCCCTTTTAATGTGGAAATTTACATCTGGGAATTTTTCTTGAATTATTTCTTTGATGATTCTCTCCTTCCATTTTCTCTGCTCTCCTTTTCTGCAATTCCAAAATTACTCCTTTGATTTCTCATTTATAAAACATTTTTCTAGGCTGGGTGTGGTGGCTCATGCCTGTAATCCCAGCACTTCAGGAGACTGGAGCAGGAGGATTGCTTGAGCCCAGGAGTTTGAGACCAGCCTAGGCAAGATGGTGGGACCCCCATCTCTACAAAAGAATTTTTAAAAATTAGCTGAGCCTAGTGGCAAATGGCTGTGCTCCCAGCTACTCAGGAGGCTGAAGAGGGAGGATTGCTTGAGATCAAGAGGTTGAGGCTGCAGTGAGCTGTGTGTATGCCATTGCACTCCAGCCTGGGCAAAAGAGCAAGATCCTGTCAAAAAAAAAAAAAAAAAGGAAAACAAACAAACAACAATAACAAAAAACCCTTTTCTCTTTTTTTTAATTTTTTTTGTTCTAGGAAGACTTCTTGCACTTTTTCTTCTAAGCATTCTTTGGAATTTTTCATTTTTACTATTATGTTTTTAATTTTCATGAACTATTTTCTATTCCCTAAATCTTCTCTTATTTTTAATTATAAGATAATAATATTCTTATATACATATAATCTCACATTTAATTATAAGAAAAGCACAATTTTTTTCATCTTTCTTAAGATATTTTGTGTTTTTTCACATTTTCTTTTCCATGCATAACCTCTTTTTCATATAGATTATTTTCTTCTTGTGGTTTGTTTATTTTGGCCTTTGTCTTTCATATTGGAGGGTTTGCTCAAAATGTGGTGGTTCTCGGCTGTCATCTCATATTTAACGGTAGAGGACAAAAAGTTGATTAGAAGTTCTGCATGCTATATCAGATATATGGATGACCTGGCTGAGCATTTCACTGGGGAACTGTCAACATCAGTAGTTCTTGTTCTTTCTTTTTGGGCTGGTTACAATCTCATAAGGTTCTACCAGCATTCCAGGAAAATAGATCAACAAGAAGCATGGGGTGGTATCAATATTCATAGTATATCAATTTTTATTTATTCCTCCTATCTTCACTTTGGTGTCCTGAACATAATCCATATCTAGGGTTTCTCAGTCAAGAAATCCTCAGCATAAATGCTAGATAATAAATCTCCAGCCTTCTGCTGATGTGTGTAGTAAAGGGGCAATCACCATCGACATGAAGTATAAGGAGTCTAGAGATCTAACTGCTTCTTAAACAGATTTTCAGTCAATCTTTCTGGTCTTAGTCACCTTCACCTTAACTTGCAGAAGTATCTGGGTCTACCAATTCCTGAATCAGTGTGTGGTAGAGGGAGTCTACCTTGGAGCTAGTTGCTCTTGGCTTTCCTACAGCCAGTGTGGGATTCAGCTCTCTCAAGGCTGCCATGACAGTCCCCACTCTTCCAACTACTTTCCACCCTCCACAATTAGCTGTGGTTTCCCACCTCTTCTCATTCTCTTTGTCCTTGTGGATTTATATCTTCCAAATATATCCCTTTATTTCCATTTTAGTGTGGTTTTAGAAGAGGTGGAAGTCAATGTATGTGGACAACTTGCTATTTTTGATGCGAAGCCTCAATCCAGGTTTTACCATTAATAAAACTAATATTTAATGTTTATCCATCAGATGGATTCTGTGATTTGGGGTTGTTAATTTACTTTTCTGAGGCTTTTAAAAAATTCTAGTTTTCTTGTTCATTGTAATATCTCTTTCATCTGTGTATTAGATATATCATTAATGTGACATAAAATTAACCATCAATGGTTTTTCTTGTGAAAAACTTTTCAAAGGGTATTTTTATGGTTGAACATGGAATTTTTTTCTTCATTACCAAAACTAAAAACTAATACACACTGCTATGGACTGAATGCTTGTGTCCTCCCAAATTCATATGTTGAAATCCTAACCACCAAGATGATGATATTAGAAGTGGGGCCTTTGGGAGGTGATTGGGTCATGGGAGTAGAGCCCACATGGAGGGAATTAGTGCCCTTATGTAAGACATCAAAGAGAGTTCCCTCACTCCTCCGCCATTTGAGGACACAGTGAGACGGTGGCCCTCGGCAGACAGTGAATCAGCTGGCACTTTGATTTTGGACTTCCCAGCCTCCAGAACTGTGAGAAATAAATTTTTGTTGTTTATAAGCTACTCTAGTTTATGATATTTTGTTATAGCTGCCTGAATGAACTAAGACACATACATAAAAATGTTAACTGAGCATTAAGACATAAAGATATGGAATGGGATATCTGACATACAGGAATGACTAAATTTATTGAAAATCTTTAATTATTTAGATGTCCAACTATATAATTACCTAAACCTTTCATTTCAAAATGAGCCTGTCTATAGCAAATTATATTTGTCAAACTACATTTTAATAAGATCTGATGAAGTCAAATGATGACACTATTTTTTTAAATGTGATAATAACCAGTATTCAAGAATTTTCTGCTTTCTACAGAAGTCTTTATCTTTGTGCTAGTCAGAGAACATTTTGTAAAGCAAAATATGAGAACTGTAATGGTAAAAACTTTAAACTTATTTTATGTACATCATGCCTGAAGTTTGTTGAAAAACAATTGGTTTTCTTAACATTAAGAGGAGACTAAGAACCCTGATTGTCCCTTACAAAGGACAAAGGGTGGATGTACAATCCTCTTACAGGAAGGATGTCTGAGTCATCTGAAACCGGCATACCACACACACACAGATACACACACACACACACACACAGATACACACACATACACACACACACACAGATACACACACACACACACACACACACACACACACACACACACACACACACACACACAGATACACACACATACACACACACACAGATACACACACATACACACACACACACACAGATACACACACAGATACACACACCCACATACACACACACAGATACACACACACACACACACACACACAGATACACACAGATACACACACATACACACACACACACAGATACACTCACAGATACACACACCCACATACACACACACAGATACACACACACACAGATACACACACACACACAGATACACACACATACACACACACACACAGATACACACACAGATACACACACACATACACACACACACAGATACACACACACACAGATACACACACACAGATATACACACACATACACACACACGCACACACAGAGACACACAGAGAGAGAGACATATTGGTACTTAATCAAGAGAGAGAGACATATTGAGTACTTAATCACTGAAAGAAAATGGGATTAGAAAAAAGTTGAATAGCAGTTAGTATGGGAAAGTTTACAGGGTTAAAATTCTTTTTTCTTGACTTAAACACTCTATTTGTACATTATCACACTGCTGTAAAGAAATACCTGACACCAAGTAATTAATTTATGAAGAAAAAAGGTTTAACTGGCTCACAGTTCCACAGGCTCTACAGGAATCATGTCTGGGGAGGCCATAGGAAACTTACAACCATGGCAGAAGGTAAAGAGGAAGGCGGCATGTGTTCATGTGACCACAGCAGGAAGAAGAGAGAGAGGAGCGGTGCTACATACTTTTAAACAATCAGATCTTTTGATAACTCACTCACTATAATGAGAATAGCACCAAAGGGGAAATCCACCCCCGTGATCCAATCACCTCCAACCAGGCTTCAACTCCAACACAGGGGATTACAATTTGACATGAGATTTGGGCAGAGACACAGACTCAAACCATATCAAACACAATGGTCGTTTAAGAATTTAAGGCTATACGATCCACCTTAAATTATGACTTGTGGGTTATCTTTCACACATAAGTTTGTTTGAGGCCAGTATTTCTTTTAAGAGTACACCTAGGTCTCCTACGTAATATTGTTCATTTCAGGAAATACAGACTAAATTCCATATGAATGCAGGTACAATTAGAAACGACAGAGGTGAGAAGGTGGTAGATCAAGGTAATTTTGATGAAAAAGAACAACACAATGGATCAGGCAGCTTCATCTGGAGCACAGCAGTTTATACAGTGGCTGCCGAAACAGGCTAAATATTCAGTTTCCAAAACCAGGGATGTTTCAGAAACCTCAGGAATTATGTGGTGCTCAGGAAACAAAACAAAACAAAACAAAATCCAACTTTCCCTTCCTGCGAAGTCTCTTAAATTTAACTCTTTGCGGAGGTGCTAAAAAAAAAAAAAAAAAAGGTGTCAGGCTCAGTCCCAAGCTGGAATGAGTATGCTAGCACTTCAGAGGGTGCTGAAGTCTTCAAACACAAATCTCTTACACGGCTTTATCCTCGCACATTCTGAGGACGTGGTTGGGGTATCTCTCTGACCAAGGCAGAAACTAAAGCACACAGCAATTCAGTGGCAGTGCTTCTCTATGTTCACCAGCAACTTCATGCCTGGTTAACTACTCAAATGCCCCAGGCAAAAGGACACAATGATGCTTAACTGAACACCAACCCCCTAATGAGAATGAATGACTCCTGCCCTGAGAGCTGGGGAGAGGTGGTGGGTTGTGCTGGACAAGCAGACACTGGCAGGAGGAAAAAGAGAAGAGGAAGGTGAAGTCAAGGATCACAGACCAGCCCTGGTGTCGAACTTTTAATATTAGAAGGCCTAGTGACAGTTCAAGTGCAAAGAATTATTAAAATTAGTAATGAGAAAAAATCAGACAATTTCATGAATTTAAGGAAAATAGGCATAAATAGGCCGGGCGTGGTGACTCATGCCTGTAAACCCAGCACTGTGGGAGGCCGAGGTGGGCGGATCACCTGAGGTCAGGAATTCGAGACCATCCTGGCCAACACGGTGAAACCCTGTTTCTACTAAAAATACAAAAATTAGCCAGGCATGGTGGCATGTGCCTGTAATCCCAGCTACCATGGCCATGGAGGCTGAGGCAGGAGAATCGCTGGAACCCAGGAGGCAGAGGCTGCAGTAAGCCGAAATCGCACCACTGCACTCCAGCCTGGGTGACAGAGCAAGACTCCATCTCAAAAAAAAAAAAAAAAAAAAAGGAAAAAGAAAAAGAAAATAGGCATAAACAATAGATATTTTAAATTTACACTGAGAAAGACCATGAAACTCCAGATGATCTGCCAAAAAGATTTGCTGTTGGTGTACTTTGAGTTTATGGCCAGTAATGAGTACACCGATAAAATCTCCTGGCACAGTATTTACTCATTTTCTCATCAGTCTTCAAATTAGAACACTGAGATCGTGGTGACGATACATTTTTCTTCATTAAATTCAGAAAGGTTCACTTGTTTTAGAGAAAAGGTTTGTGTAGGTTTCATACCTGTGTCTTATATTATTATTATTTTCTATGTTTATTTTTTCTTTATGAGCATAAGGGACCCAGTGATTCATTCTTCAACAAATACTTACTGAACATCTGCTACAAACCAAGCACTGTTCTGGGTGCTGAAGGCTGAGTTAGGGAAAAAACAGCAGAAAAGACAATCAATATTTTTTAAATCAAATTTATAACAGCATGGCAGCGAGTGATAAACACTTTGAAGAAAAACAAAGTAGGAGAAGAGAGTGGTGAAGATCCCATTTTAGGTACGGTGAACAAGGCAGTCAATGGTATATTGGCGACAGCTCCTCCTGATTCATGAGAGCACACTCTTCAATTTTTAGGAATTGTAATTGTGAGAGCAGATGTTAAACACAGACATTAGTGGGGTTTGGATCCGTGTCCCCGCCCAAATTGCATGTCAAATTGTAATCCCCAATGTTGGAGGTGAGGCCTGGTGGGAGGGGATTGGATCATGGGTGAGGGGGGTAGATTTTCCCCTTGGTACTGTCCTCACAACAGCGAGTGTGTTCTCAGGAGATGTGGTTGTTTAAAAGTGTGTGACACTTCCCTGCTCTCTGTCTTCCTCCTGCTCAGCCCTTGTGAAGTGCCGGCTCCCTCTTCACCTTCCACCATTGTAAGTTTCCTGAGGCCTCCCCAGAAGCTGAGCAGGTGCTGGCATCATGCTTCCTTCAGAGGCCGTGGAACGTGAGCCACTTTTCATCATAAATTACCCAATCTCAGGTATTTCTTTACAGCAGTGTGAGAACGATCGAATACTGCCATTATTGAAAATTAAATTATATAAACTACAAAGTCAACATATTATATTAAAAACAAAGCTAATAAAGACTCAAACTCAGCATCTTCTATGTAGATTACTGACTATTATCATGATCTATGTCCTTTAAGTTATTTACATCTATGATACCTGTGTATTGGAAATACTATATAATGGTGTACTGCTCCAATCTCTTCCCAACTCTGTGTCCAGTGATATCACATTGTAGTTTTAAATCGACCATGATGGATGTATTTACACTATGGAAATTGGCAAATACTTTTTATCCCAGGGAGCCAGTTGTTAAACAATTACCAGCATTTTACAGAAGAGAGATCTTTCTGACGAGTTAATATTTGAGGAGAAGCCTGAATTAAATGTGGGAATATCTGGGGGAGGGCAATGCAGATACAGGCCTTAGACTAGCACTTGCTTGACATGTTCAAGGATCAGCCCAGAGAACAGCACGGTTCTAGGAGGTAAAGATAAGTAAGATACCATTTCTGTCCTCCAGGAAGTCAATCCAGTGAAGGAGAGACCATAAAGGGAAAATGATAATGAAATGAGCTTACAGGAAAGACAGAAGGGAGTGGAACATGCTAAAGAACACCAGAGATTGGCTGGGCGCGGTGGCTGACACCTGTAATCCCAGCACTTTGGGAGGCCGAAGTGGGTGGATCACTTGAGGTCAGGAGTTTGAGATCAGCCTGGCCAACATGGTGAAACCCCATCTCTACTAAAAAAATACCAAAAAAATTAGCCGGGCATGGTGGTGTGCGCCTGTAATCCCAGCTACTTGGGAAGCTGAGGTAGGTGAAGTGCTTGAACCCGGGAGGCAGAGGTTGCAGTGAGCTGAGATCGCACCACTGCACTCCAGCCTGGGCAACAGAGCAAGACTCTGTCTCAAAGGAAAAAAAAAAAAAAGAAAACACCAGAGATGCAATCAGTAAAATCCAGACTGGGAAACCCTATAGGACAGACAACCTAGTTTCTTCAACAAATAAACTGCAAGGAAATTGAGGCAGAATCTGTAAAATAAAAAAGACCTCAAAGACATATGAAGCCATGGCAAGATTATTTGGCTCCTGATTCAAGCAAACTGCAAAAAAATTATAAAATTAAGATTTAAATTAAAATTATAATTAATATAAATTAATAGATACTTGGAAATTTAAACATTAAAGGGACATTTGATGGTATTTAAAAATTACTACTTTAATTTGTAAAATTTTAGGTGAGATAATGGTTTTGCGGTTATTTTCAAATGTCCTTCTATTTCAGAGATACATGCCAAAATACGTATAAGTGAAATGATATGATATCTGGCATCTTCCTCCAACTAACACAGGAAGGGGAAGTGGGTAGATGAAACAAGATTGGCCATGAATTGATCATTGTTGAGCTGTGTGGTAGTTACATAAGGATCAATTTCGTAAATAATTAAAACTTTCCAGAATAAAAAGTTTTGGAAGAGCTTTTTCTGGACTGGATACCAAGGGACTGATAGAATTGCTGACCAGGTATTTGAGGACATTGGGAAGACTTCCAAAGAAATTGGGACACTCATGTGAAAGCGTTCCCAGGCAGCAAGACAGCATGAACAAACAAATGAAGTTATTTTAAGCATCACCTAACATCATCGATATCAAACATGGTTAGGATTTGGTTTTCACCAAGAGCAGGCTATTATCACATGGAAACAGGTTGCCAGAGTTCATGGAACTTCCTTTGAGATGGATATGTGTAGAAATGGGCTGAGTGAAACAGGAGAGGGACTGAACGTTTGACTGGGATATCAGGAGACCCAGAGTGACAATCCTGGCTCTGTCATTAACCAGCCGTATGTCTTGGAGAAAGGCTCTTAAGTTTTGGGTGTCTCCATTTCCTCGTTTACAAAACAAGAAGGTCTGACTTATTCCCTGAGAACCCTTCTTCAATCTACTATTCGATGTGGGTTTCCACAGATATAAAATGATAACTGCGGGGTCATATGTAAGAAATTATCAGCTTCAGGTCTCTGCAGTGTCACTGTCAGAACCTCCAACATCAGCAGGTGACCTCAGAAAAGTCCCTGACACAACCATCTGCTTCACATGAGAAGCAGATGGGAGGAAGAGAGCGTGGCTGTGTGCATTGTTTTCCAACGCAGTAACTAAAATCTTGGTGCCCTTCTCAGTAAGAGAAAAGAATTTATTTACCATTTGGCAACTTACTAGTTAAAAGTTCCTCTCTACTTGGAAACTACACTTGCTTTCTTTCCTTGTTTCTATAAAGGAATATTGAAAAATCTGCTCCTTGGTGTCTCAAATGAAGTTAAAATAGTTCTGATTGGATATCACCCTGGGCCCACAGTTTCCAACATAATAAAAGGTGCCTGGCTGGGTGTGGTGGCTCACGCCTGTAATCCCAGCACTTTGGGAGGCCAAGGTGGGTAAATCACGAGGTCAGGAGTTCCAAGACCAGCCTGGCCAACATAGTGAAACCCCATCTCTACTAAAAACACAAAAATTAGCCGGGTGTGGTGGCACACGCCTGTAGTCCCAGCTACTAGGGAGGCTGAGGCGGGAGAATCACTGGAACTCAGGAGGCAGAGGTTGCAGTGAGCCAAGACCATGCCACTGCACTCCAGCCTGGGTGACAGAATGAGACTCCATCTCAAAAAAAAAAAAAGGTGCCAAAATAACTTCCTTAGACACCACTCCCCACATGTTTTGAACCATAGTAGAGACTCAGCCGCAACCATCAGATATGAACTCTAAGGCCCAGAACTGCTGGATATTTAGAGACCCACCAGCCCCCCTCCTACCTTGGCAGAAGGCTGAAGGCTGCACAGACTCGTCTCGGAAAACTGGCATTTGAGAGGAAAACAACGGTGAGTGAGATCTGCCTGGGTCTCTGATTCTCCATGTCCTGCAATTTTTTTCCAGAGCATGACTGAGAAGAAGACTTGTCTGGTGCAGAGAA